TTAAGACTAGATAGTAAAGAATAAAGTTTAAGCGTGCACAGTTGAATAATGCTGTTTCTCAAAAAATYTGATCTTCGTTGATTATATTGCTTGTTTGCTGTGCTTCACGTCTGTTGATCAGATGACAAGCCATGGTCCATTACATCAACCCGCAATAACTTTCGGTCATGAGACGTAATTTTCTGCCACAGCCGTTTATAGCTATTTCAAAAAAGTTGTGGTCGAACTGCGATTGCACGACCGAAAGTAGCCATGGGTTTTGAAAGGCAATAACTATAAGATGGTTTGTAGTAAACATTGGTTCCATTTAGTCTACACTTCTATGTAAGTTGAATCCAATAAGTGATATTTTGTTTATCAAAACAGTGTAACCATAGTCCCTTTCGGTCGTGCAATCTCCTCAGGTTTCGACAATCGCCGTTCGCCCCGACAACGTTTTTTGAAATAGCTGTATACAAATCTCATGATTGAATCGTATTTCATTGCATATTTCTTTATTTTGCCAGATTCATTAGCCGAATGCTAGCAAGTGGAAAAGAGGAGCATCGGCATGGGGTGTGCCTTGGAATTTTCTGGAAATCGGTCAAGGCCACAATCTACACAGTAGAATAGCACGGGACCGAAAACATATATTTATTGTTTCGATAATCAAGCACACGACCGCCTACCATTCATAAAAATCATTTACAATTCATCAATTCGGTTATAATTCATAGTCTGCGGTCTTCGATTTAAAAGAACACCACTCTTAGCTGGGGGGAAGGCTTGAATGGTATTCAGACACCCAGGGCAGGTGTTTCTATGGAACTCTAGCACATACAGACTTAGAAATAATAATAATAAAAAAACACTATAGAGCTGTTATTTAGAGCACGTTTGCATCGACATATCTTAACTTTACTAAAAAGAACTATCTGAATTATATCTGTATCCTTGTTTTTTTTAATTCATTTAAAGAAGAAGAGGACATGCATCACTCTTTTTTAACCCGAGCAGATGCAATTATGTCGGAATATGATGAATATTCACCGAGTTTCCATAACGATTTCTGAAACGCAGCGGCATACCGTGAAAAGAGACATTGTTTGAAACAGGAGGCGAAAGAGACACCAGGTCTACAACTCTCATCCTACTCGCGCAATGTTTAATTGACAACGGAAAATGACTGAGGAATGTCGAGCATGCCAAAAGAAGTTTAACGGCGCCATAGTTACTTCATAAAGACAAACGTCGAGGCTTGCATTGTATAGAAGCTGAATGACTTTGACAAGAATTTGAAAGTTGGATAAATGCCTAAGRTAGTTAAGTTATAAACTGTCGTGAGCCCGCAAGCGTTGGATCCAATTTAAGTTTATTGCGAACTACAGCGGGGAAATTAACAATTTCAAAATTCTACAAACAGTAAAGATATCAAGTCTGTGAACAAATTAATTTGGATCATAAATATTGGGTGCAATGGGTAATGTACTTTTATCTATAGTTTTTCACACTAAACGCATRATGGTATGAATGGACGTCAATGAAAAACTGCTTTAAATAGTGGATGTAAACAAATATCAGCAACTCAATATAGCTAAGCTGSTCTCAATTCTCTTTAATGGATTGCTAATCGCCTGATATGCAGCTTTCCAATATGTCAGGAGCTTAACYGGTCATGTTCCGTTCGACAATCTAATTGGTTGCCATGGCRAACATATCATATTCTTCAAAAACTCGCAGCCACACGGCGCCGCTCTCATCACATGCAAAAACGGAGAAACTGCAATTACTATTACGAAAGCGACAGAGATCAGAATCKTTTCCGAATGACAGACKGCGTTATGTTCCAGTTTTCTATAAAAATCCTGACCCAATTCTTTCTCGGAAGTTGAAGGAATTCCTAATGAAACCACCGCTGAACTCTCACGAAGATACGCAAATGAGAGCGAAAATGCCTYCAACAAGTCGTTCTGAAACTCCCCAAAAAGCTGATTTCTTTACTAGAAAAACAAGTTACTTTGTAACGCCTTCTGGAGAGCGATTTGCGCACCTTCTCCCTGAGAAGAGAACGATTCATCAGCTYGTGTTACCAGCGATTCATTCGGGCTGCAGAGAGAATTTCAATCACAAATACGCACAAGGGAAGGAAGAGGAAGCTATTGTTACAGGTGACTTCTCACATCAAATGGAATATTTAAAATACTGTAGATATTTACGTGTTCGAAAAACTCCTGCCGAATCAAGCCAAAGAAATGAAAGATGATAAAAACAACAACTGCCCTTGAGCTGGATGAAAGATACACATCATTTTGCCAGTTTCTTCTCGGACTGATTGATTATGGTTTTTTATCACTTTACGTCAATTCATTTATTGGAAAAACATTTACTTCTAAAAATTCTATTCGAATTTTTTTCGGCTGAAACCGATTTTTTAGTCGTGGTTAATACTCCAATAATTCGAGGTCTTTTTTGCTGTGTTAGCCTCAAAACCAAGTAACATATTCTTTTGTTTTATTGATAGCCCGAGAAAACGCATGGRATTTGTGAAGAAAAACAATAAAACTGATTTGAAATCTCACAATTTTATTCTCGCAATTAGGAATATTTTGCGCACAAATGAGGCTAACACAGAGCATTGGAGAATTCGAAACTGGATTATTGCCCTATCGCATAATTTCGTCACATCACTAAAACATTCTATTGTTTTAAAGCTAAGGATTCTGGTCGCCAGAGGGGATCGGAGTGACTGCATATCAAATAAAATGAAGATGAGATATCATTAATAAATAATGTACATCAAAACTCGATACACTAAAGTTCTACTTTCGGAAAGAATGTTAATAGACGTCCAAATGTCGAATCTTTCTGTATGTTTTATGTTTACGGTAAACATACTGTGACGTCATTATGCAATAAGGAAATTGATTGTTTTAGGTATAAATCCTTGACTTTAAATCTGGCTGTTGGCATAAGAGTGACCGTGAAACAAAGTGTAATAGACTTTCACAGTGCATGTAATTTATCATAAGTGCACGGATAGTCTAGATAATAGACCTAATCGGCTTCAACCCAATTCAAACCACCCGGGAGTAAATTTCATTGTTCGTTGYATTTTCATTTCACAGTTGAATACTTAGAAAGAAAAGTTCTTTTTTACCACAGGATTTGAATTGGGTGGTAACGTACATGGYAACGCGTTAGCCTATAAGGTCTATTGAAAGGGAACTTTAGATTTGACGACGAGACTGAGTACAAAAGACAGACGTGMTTCGGCTTCGGAGACTACAGGCCTGGGTTCGATTCTCAAACCGGGCGATTACGTTGTGTCATTGGCCTAGACACTTTAAMTTTCTCAGTGACTCGTCTTCTCGTAAAGGACGTAAAGTCGTTCGTCCTGTCTCCGTACACTTCACATTCGCAGCGGAAGGGACGTAGAGGACCGCACACAGCTACCCACTACAAATATCAGGGYGCGGTGTTCCCGGTGGTGCAGTCAGGGCTTCCTCACAGCATTGAGTTCAGCTCGGAGTATTGTTCGCACAAAGTTAATGAGATCTTTAACTAATAACACAGTTAGTAACCCAATGGACCGAGTGCTGGAACTATGTAGTACTCATTCTCGTACCCAGATCTCATCGAAAAATCTAAGCCTCTAACGAATAGGTCTTTGATTTGATTGGTTCAAACATCAAATTATACGACCCAGATTCTGTGTCTTCTGGTATCGTTTCCATCCAAAGTCTTCAATGGSAAACTGAGAAGGACTGGGTACGAGAATGGACGAGTACTGCTTTTATCATTGTTGCGGACACTGCATGTCAGTCCATCKTTTTTCTACTCAATATTTCTGTTTCAATATATCTATTACCCTGACTACAAAAATTCATAACAAAAGCACCATCCTGCTTTGCAGACTATTAATATGACGATCTCGCCGAATACATAATAGCCGATTTGCATGATGGCGTCTTTCTTTTGTAATGCAATTAGTGCCAATTGTTTTATTAATCTCCAAGGGRACTAAAAATCTGAATAACAATGRAAATGCGCAAGCCTCTGGTAGTTGTACTAAAGTTACGCCATCATGCAAATGGCCTATTCTCGAGCATGAATATTAATCGTCTGCAAACCCGCCTACAATAGCACACACACAGTAATAAATTTTAAAACTCGTACTCGTTTAATTTACGGGTTAATAGGGACATAGATGAATAAGCCTTTTACCAGTTCAATGCCAGCCACCGCTGTTTTAGTAGACAACAGACTCACTTGAAAGAAAGCACGACAAAATGTTGAACTTGAATCTTCTCCGATTTGAAGCATCGCCTGAGCAAGAGTTTGAACYTTCTGGGAATACAGAATCGGAGAAAATGCAAATTTATAGGGTTATTGTAATGGCAACATTTTTTCGTGCTTTCTTTTGTTTTTGGTCAGGTCTCTGCGCATGCCAGACTGTTGTCAACTAAAGCAGCGGTTGCTCGCATTGAACGGGAAAGGGATATTCACAGTTATTGATCGTTTCCAACCATTCCAATGAGAATCAAAAGAAAAAAAAACACCGGTGACCATGTTGGAGGAATAAACAATAGACACTAATGAGAAAACCTTTGTTGAAGTTAATCCAAGATRGCCGCCATGACGTATWGTGAAAACGAAGAGATGCACATTTTACTTTGATTTATTCTATTAAATAATTTTACGTAAAAAACTACACAATAAGTCATCTCTTTGGAGATACAACTATTCGCATTAACCAGCTATTTCAGTCATACCAAATGTCATGTGATCTGGTTATGGTCACATGACAGGTCACGTGGTTTGGCGTCATCTTTGAAATGACAATAATATTTCATAGAATTCCACTGAACACAGTAAAAAATTCGTTCCTAACTATTTCTCGTATAATGACAATGAATCAGACTGCTTTCCATATATGCTCGATTATCAGTGTTCCAASGAGCCTCTCTTTGATTCTATTGGAGGTACTAAGTATAGAGAATGCGAAAGTACGGCGTTCCTTATCAATGATAATTTCCATGTAGCCCTCTTCCTTTTCGGTTAACCAGATWTGACGGTAGTTGTCCTGGTAACCGTTTTTGGTTCATTCCATATGGTTTAGGCGGTGGGGGTGGTGGAGGGGTCGGAATTCGCCCCTTCTTGTTTATCGAYGGAGCAGTTGCTCGTTCRGTATTTTCGTGTATTACGTCAAGGCTCTTGGCYTTTTGAAGCCTRTCACTGGCCAATGAACCACTATTTGGTTTTCGGTTTATCTGAGTGTCGTCWAGAGAATTCGATCTTGTGAACCGCCAACTGTCTGGTAGGCCATTTAGGAGCCCACGTGCAGGACTGAAGAGAAGGCCAGCGGCTGTATTTACGACACTTCCTTGATTGGTCAATTCAGGAGCACTCTTGCTTGAAGAGATAGTTTCGTTACCAATGATTGCACTCTTGGGTCTTTTACGACTTCGCTTCTTTTTGACATCGAACGTTTGATAGTTATCATCCTAAAACATTAGTTATTATAAATGTTATTTAATATTTATTTTGTCAGCCTTTTGAAAGAAGTTATTGTTATTGATTGATAGATATCGATAATTCAAAAAAAAAGAAAAAAAAAACTCATACATAATTATAAGTTATTAGGCCAATAGAATGAGCCTATTTGGTCACATGCATGGATCTTCACATCTGATAAAACACTCTGATAAAGAATACTAATAAGGGTGACCTTTATCATATATAAAGGTCCATGACCCTAGCAAAGGTCTCAGGTTTGATACCTGATCATGGACCAATGCAGGATGTCAACCGATTGTAGTAAACAGCCAAGAGCGTATTTTACTTTATGCATATTCAATGTGGGATGACAAGAGTGCTTTGTAAAGTGATTCACGCATGATCAGTTTGCCCATTTATCACAAAACTTATTTTTATGGCAATTTCTTCAAGAACGTTAACGGATTTGAGTTTCAAATTAGTGTTGGAGTTTTTGAAGCCATTTAAAACACACGAGATCGTGTTTTATCAGGTATAAGATTCTCGCCTCGGCTCTAATCTTTATACCTGATAAAACACTCTCTCTCGTGTTTTAAACTTAAACACTGCTTAACATCAAAGCTCGATAAGATTCTCTTATGAAAATGACGTAATTGATAAAATTGAAAAAAATAAACTGGTTCGACATAAATAGAGGATATTACATGGGTGCGTGGATATACGGATTTCGAGTGAGCGTAGCGAGAAGATAAGATTCGTCTAATATACAGAGAAACCTCGAATGTGCTATTTTCACTAGTTTGAAAAATAACAACTTTTCGAAAGATAGAAATAAATGTGTTAATCATATAATTATCTATTAAATACCTATATTTCTCCACTTCCTAAAGTTGATATTTTCACTAATGAAAATAACATGTTATTCTCGCTACGCTCACTCGTTCGATATCAACTGAACACTTGAAGATAAAATTCGTATCTCAGCGCGCCCATAATATCCTCTATTTTGATAGAAAATAAAATGATAAATAAACATAACACAGACGTGTATCTAAACGTCTGTTTACGGAATGAGCGTGTAGAAGGATCGAACTGGCCCATAAATGGTTCGAAAAACACTTGCATGCGTCAATAACATAGCTTCTATAATTGAATAGCTAACTCGCCTTTTGTTCTTAAGAGCCATGGTCAACCAGCAGTGAATACGGCATATTTTCACATATGGACACTGATGTGACTTCCAATATACACCTATTTCAAAAAACGTTGTCGTTGACAGGACACAGTCCACAGTCTTGAGCCTGCAAAGAATCTCGGGATTGCTATATATTATTTTTTTATAGTTATTCAAAATTTTCGGTAGCAAATATAGATTTGAAGCTCATTGACGGTTTGAAACGTGGGACATTTCTCAAGGAAAAGTTTCATGGGAGACAAATAGGCAAATATACATTCGACATTCTTTGTACATGTAGGTTCAAGACTGTGCACTGTGTCCTGTTGACGACAACGATTTTTGAAATAGGTGTACATTTACAATCTGTTTCCACTATTTGATTTTCAAATTTAATCTTACAGCATAATGGGAGATTGCGGAGTAAAGAGTAAATCTTTGCTTATATCATGTGACAACGATGTATTTTCATCAGTTTTCTTACGCAAATGAGAAGTTCGTAAGGAGATGATTGTTGACCATTATAGGACATTTTTTAAGACCCGAGGAACGCTTGCGACTCAATGTATTTTGGGATTGACACATTAGCAGAAATCAGGTACCTCTGACCAGGCGGTGTTGGACACAGCGCGAAAAGGATCCTGGGTCAAAAGTCAAAAATGGATTCATTTGCAACTGGCCTTTGAGCTATCAAGAGCTCCGTCGGAGTTGATTGAAAGTCAAAAYAAAGGCAAAATCTGAGAAAAACTTGAAAAGTATCTGAAAATAAGTAAAAATACATAATAGAGTTCAGTACGTAGTATCGCGAAAAAAGTAAGCTAGAATGCTGAAAACTCATGAAAAGATCGGATTTTTCGAGAAATTGTGTGTTAATTTTATTACGAGAAAGCACAAACATACCTTACGACAGTCTTGAAAAAACATGTTAATCACATCAGTAATATGAATGACACTCATGCTTTTCAATTCAAGGAACAATCCTTTGTTTGACAATAAAATGTTGCAAAAATGCGAAAAGGAATTGACTTTTTCAATCTCAAAACTGTCTATATTTCAAAAGTGAAGTTCACCTTGACTATGAGAGAGGTGACGCGCGCGTCTAAAGTTGTTCAAGGTCAAAATTTTGGCGGGGAACCTCGACCGCAAGAAATGTAATTTGACTGTGTTTTTTGTTCAAATTCTTTATTATTATGCCTTGTACAGAAACTTGTACATTCTTTTAACATACCACAAACATGGTACAAACATATATTGAAATACAACYCATGATAAATATCGAAAAAAATGAGCAAAAATGAGAGCATGATTTGTACGAAGACTTCAAAATTCGCTCACTTTAGTTGCTTCAATTAAGAAATATAAAACGGCGCGCGTGTCTCTGTCCTCTGATATAAACACGGTGGGAGTTCRAAAAACACGAGAGAAGCAAGCTTAGGAACACGAGCGTAGCCTGGCACGTTCATGGGTTACACTACCGACTTACAAGATTGCAGACTAAATTTTTCGTGCGAAATTTCAAAGATGTTTATACACCCTTTTAATAAGTCCCGAGGTATTACTTTCTYCGCACTTGACGTCAAATTTATTCTTTTCAATTCCTTTTGTATTGTAAAAATTTCAAAAGAATAAATTTGACGTCAAGTACGGAGAAAACAATACCTCGGGACTTATTAAAAGGGTGTATATTTGTTATGATGCTTTTTTGTTACAAACTCGAGGATGTCCGATCATTTGATTCAACTTGATAAGTCTTTGACCCTTGTTTGTAGATTTTCTTTATTCGCAAATTTCTCGGTTCATTGTCCGTTGAATAAATTGAAATTAAAGCTGATAATCTACTCCCTCAATTGTGAGAGAAAGCTCCATCGCCGTGTTTSCTTGTGTGAAATTATGGAAATTGACACCAATTTGTATGACTGAGTACAACATAATGAAACCGCAGACCAAAATAACACGGGAGCAAAATGTCCCTGATTTCTGCTAATGAAATGAGTAAACAAGGAAGCAAGATGTCAGCGCTCTGGTCCTCTGCCGCGGACTCAGTTCGAAGAAATATTGGGAAATACGGAAYCTTAGTTAATTGGAAGGAAACAAATATCAACAAGCAACAGGAAATATAACAAGAAAGATCACCCAAAAATGTACAGTTACATTCAAAAGACATGAAGCGTCCCCCCCCGAATAGTTCGTCATTCAATGCATTATTGGATTTTTTCATTTTATTTTTCGTTTTCAAACTTCAGTTGATTAATGGAAAATTAAATTCAAATCTCGAACTCTGATAATGACAGAAAACAGCACAGCATTTCCAGCTTGCAATGCATCGACTTGTGGAAATTACAAAAGACCAACATGTTTACAAGAGAAATACGAAGAAAAATCCGATCGATAATCCAATCAAATTTCGAAGTTTGAATTCAAATTTGATTTCAATAATGTAATGTTGAATAGACCAATAATCGAATAATGAATTGAATAATGGTGTTTTGAGGGGGCGCGCTGCATGTCTTCGGCTATAAACTATAATTTGAATTATAGGTTATACTAATTAAATCAAGCGAAAAGGAAAGACAAACATATTTTGTCTGTGAAAACAAATCGAAACTACTTAGTGTTTAAAATTACGATTTTAGCGATATGTTTTGACAAAGATATTTAGATCCCATGATACATTGCAAACCGTTCTAAATGGCGCCTTGTAATATTGACCATGGCACTTTAAGATGATAAATACTGAAGATATTGTTTAGTATTTCAAAAAGGTGGCTTCCTATAGTTTTTTCTCGACCATACCTCTCCTTTTAAATTCGCTTTTTGAAAATCTTGCCATGCACCGATTTATTTCGAGAGGTACTGTCGAAAAAAAAAAACAAACAAAAAAAAAACAATAGAAACCACCTTAATAGCATATTGAAGCGATCCGTCAAGTTTTTTTATCGGGATTAATACGACTCGGCAACATTACGGTCTGTTTTACCCACCTTTTGTTGGTTCATTAGGTTGTCGTTGACTGCCCCCAAATTCTCTGGTACCACTGGGGTTGAAAAACTACGATGTAGCTGCTCGCGTGCGCTAAGYTGACCTGAAAGGGAAAAGAAGCATCAAGTCTGGCTCAAACGGCTGATCACCAAAAATAATCAAACGTTGTTAAACTAAATTCTCGGGTGCCCGTCAAACATTTGATGTTTGAAGCCGCTTAGACGCTTCAAAATCTATCCAACATGCATATTGACATATAAATGGATAGATACCTTYATTGATAAAATCACATTGCAGCCTAAGGCTGAATTRCATGAMTATTTACAGAAATTGATAAATAAATTATATCAAAAATGTATAAGAATTACAAAGTGGAATAGACCGCTAGGATTATAATTCCTGCTCATGGAAGGAAAAAAGGTCGAACTAAAACGTTTGGTACGCGTCTTATGTGTAACAAAATCACGTTAGCTTCTCATATTCTTCGTTTGCAATATACGTCACAGCCGCCATCTTGGTTGAACTTCAACAAAGGATTTCTAATTAGTATCTATTGTTCATTCAACCAACAT